AACTCGGTGTAGATATGTACACCTACACCGGTAGACTAGAACTGGTATAGATATTGTTTGAAAAAAAATTTATTTATGAAATTGCCACCATCTCTGATTTTTACACCATAGACGCTATAACCGGTGTAGATATGAGGGTATAAATTTCATATTTTATATTAGTATGTGTGTACACATAGGTAATTTGGCTTTTTATATAACATATTCTTTTCAGTTTGGTTTAGATAGAGGAAAAAGGTGAGAAGAAAATAAAGAGATAGAAAATTAAGAAGAGAAATTTTCAAAAATAATAATTTTTTAATTATTTTTAAGAGTTTTCCCTCCTTATTTTTCTTCCTTCTCATTTTTTTCCCCATCCATAATGAAGGATTCATGTCAAAACACTTGACATTTTTAAAATTTATAAAATGAGACATCTTTTAAAATTAATTAATTTTGAAAATTGATCTATTTTAATAAAATTAATTGTAGAGAAAACATGAAATTGTGAAGAAGCCCTACGTACAAGAGAAGAAAATTAAAATAAAAATGAATTAAAAATTTTGCAAGTGAATCGCATTGTGGAGAAAGGAGATCAGAACCTGCATGTTTGACAATAGTTTGGCATCTTTTTTCTACTTTGTTTCTCACTTCGAAACATTGACCAAATATGTATCTCTTACTCTAAAGCCACATTTTAGAAAGAAACCCTAATTTTAGACTAATCTATGCTATAAGTAGCCATCCTATTTTTTCTTTTCTTTCATTGAATTTCTCTCTCAAAAAAATTCACAATATAACTATCCTTAAATGGCTTTAAGAAAACACAATACCATGAAGAAAATAACAAACTCATAAAAATAAAAACATGATGGCTCTTCTTACTTCTCGATTATTATTTATCATAAACACATGTTTATTCTTTTTCTCAACCATTGTTTCTTCTTCATCTTCTCCTCCTGATCTCTTAACAAAACCAAGATGGTTAATGGAGGAATCATCCTCGTCCTCTCCATCTGACAGAGCAAACTTCCTCGTTAACGAGGTCTGTTTCGAGACGAGGAATCCTAAGTTGTGTGTCAGATTCGCCAAATTTGGGCTCTCTAGATCACCAAGGAACAAAGTTGGCGAGATCAAAATAGCTATTGGGATAGCCATAGACATTTCTGGGATCTCTGCGAATCACATATACAGAATGTTAAGGAGCCACAAAATGAGATCAGAATACGTGCCATTGTTCGAAACATGCATGAAGTCTTATGCTCAAGTGACGACGACGCTCAAGAGGACACGTTCTAGGGTTTGGAGAGATCCTATTGGGTGTGATTATGGTTTCTCTAATGCTTTGAATTGTCTTAGAAAATGTGAGAGTGCGTTTGCTTTCAAAGATGCGTCGTTTTTACCTATTTTAGCAACCAACCAGGTTTTGAAGCGATTGGTGTCGTTTGAAAAGATGTTTATTCAAGATTATGTTCCGTTATGAAATATAATTATTTGATGATTGATCATATAGTGGGATTTTAGAGTTAGAATGTTTGTTTCTGGAAAACTGGAAGGAGATTGATTGTGAGAAAATAATTGCCATTTGGGAAGCGGAATATTCTTGAAGAAATTTTTGGGCACCAGGTGAATTTTTTAAGAAGATTTCAAATATTTTAGACATTAAATTTTCATTAAAAATTTGGCAAAAAAATTGTAATTAAAAAATATTTAATTTTCGGTTTTTCAATCAATCCTTAATTGATTATCGAAAAGTTAAAAAGAGACTTTGAAAACTTTAATTGAAAGTTCTAAATCTAATTACCATCGAGCAATAAAATCTTAGAGAGGATTGAGCTTTATATGAAATAAATCCTACTCGCAATTAACATCAACGTCTCAAGAATTATAGATTTGGAAACTAATAATATTTGATACCTATTTGCAATCTAGTCAAGCATGCAATAATTTGAAAATCAAACTTAATATCAACCTCAATTTCGCTGCCAACTTTTACATTTTTTTAATCAAATGGCCGCCATAAGTGTGACTTTTCATGGCAATTTTAAGATTCCTCACTTAAAGTCTCACTTTCTATATCTAGAGAGATAAAACGCGTGAATCATAGCAAAGACCAAGGATTATTAAAAAAAACCATGGGAGTCAAGGCAGACATAGAAGAATCATTTTCTTTCCAAAAATATCTTGGCGTGTGGGGAGAACTTGAGGACTTGAAAGAAAAATATGACAGGTCTCGTACTTCATTTTTTTTTTTTCAATTTTTGCTTTCTCTCATTTTTCCTTCCTCATCCAAATAAAAGAAATGTTATTTTCTCTCCTATTTTACTCTTCTAGTTTTTCATTTTTTCACATTTTTTCTGTCCAAACAAAGCATAAAAGTTATCACTAAAATTACACTTTTTATAGCGACTTTAAAGGTAAATACAAAATTAGACTTTCTATATTGATTGTTTTTAAGTCCTCAAAGTTAAACTTTTTATTGCGATATAAAATCTTGATTTTAATTTTGAGGGAATGGTTGGAGGTGAATTGGGAGTGACTTAGAATTAGGTCATAAGAAGTAGAAATTAATGAAACATTTTTTTCAATTGCCTGTTGATGATTGAAAAGAAGATATTTTCATTCGTTTTCCTTATCTGCATCTAATGAAGACCATTTCCCAAGTGTCTTAAATCCACTTTTTTAAGCCATCAACCTTGAATCCACTTACTAGGAATTTGGTTGGAACACTTGTATTAATACTATATTTTATCTGAAAATTGAAAAAAAAAAAAAGAAGAGATTTTAACCAACTAAATTTTCAAATGGGGGCCCAAAAAATCAAATGATTTTCAACAAAAAATTATCGTTGAAAACTATTTTAAAAATTCTACTTTTATTCATTTATATTTCCAATATGATTCCCCCCCCCCCCCTAAAAAGCACTTCCATTATATTTCAATTCAATTTTGAAGGATTTTTTTCATATATACCGCCTCTGGTCTTAAATATAAGACAAAGTTCAAAATACAACGTAACCTTAAAATTGTAAATATATATATATATATATATATATGTAACTTTACAATTTTTAACATTCTTTGTAATTAATGAATATAATAAATCGTTGTTTAAAAATTAAAATTACAATGAATATATGTTGGAGAAAAATTGGGGGGGAAACATTAATTATTTTAATTTCGTTATATATATATATATATATATAATATAAGACCAAACAAACTTTCAAACTTTGTTTGATATTAAAAACTAGAGTGATATATTTTCATTATAGAAGACAGGTCTAAAATTTAAACACAACTTATTCATTGAAATGCCAACTAGTTTTATTTAATTACAAGAACTAAATAATATAGATTTTGTGTTTGAGAACAAGAAGCAAGCTCATTTGTTAGCCAATGGCTGCAAGGATATCACTAATAGTGGTGGTTTTTTAGTTTTGATTACTTTAAGTTTTGATTTGCCTATTAATAGTAATTCTTCCATTTCTATTTACTTGTTATCTTGGTTTGTATTTCTATTTTGTCTCAAAATGTATGTCATATTCTAAATTTGAAGGTACAAGCATTACTTGTTATTAATAATACTCATGTTAAATGGAGGGAATTAAATGAAAGTAGTTAGTTAAGATTTAAAATAACGTGCTATTAAATGGAAAACAAAACTAAAGAGGAAAAAATAATTCTTACATTTTGCTTTCTTCTTTTTTTTTTTTGAGGACAAGAATAAAGACAGAGGAAATATAAAATGACTATGGGGCTGTTTGAAAATGTTTTTATTTTATTGTTCTGAGAATTGGTGTTTTGTAGAACATGTTTTGAGAATAAAAAAATAATAAAAATAGGTAGTTTTTTCATTCTTCCTTGTTCTCCAAAACAATAATCACATAACACTTAAAAATTATTTTTATTTTTTTGTTCTTCAGAACAATGTTTTGTTTTTTTTGTTTTCCAAAACACCTTTTGAAAACACATTACCAAACAAATTTTTTTATTCTTTTATTTTGAAGAACAGAAAACTATTCTCAAAACAAGTTTCTAAATGGGCCCTACATTTTCAAGTTTTGATTAAAAAAAAAGTGTGTTCTATTTGGTAAGATAAGATTTAAATCATTTAACAATTAGTAAAGCAAAAAAATAAAAATCTAGTATTTTCTTTTTTTGACAAATATAGTAGGTAAAAATTAAAATTAATATTTAATTCCCCAAATAAAAATACGAGTTATAATTTTAATAAAATAAATTAATCCCATTTTTGGGCAACTTAAGTACCCGAGTTTAGTTGCATCAATTTTTTTTTTTTAATTTATTCCACCAATAACATTCTTTTGATTTTCAAAATGTAAAACATTTCCAAGAAAAAATTGTCATCGTTTAAAAGGAATGTCATATTTGTTCATAATTGGCCAAAAAAAAAAAGTTATATTTGTTTATATAGTTATTATGATTATGGATTCTATAGAAAGGCATTTAGTTGCATTTCATGACAATTTTTCCATACTTTGATGAGTTTTATTCAATTCGCGTAAGATATGAGATTACAAGACAAAATCACGAAAGCCTTCAAATATCATAACACGACTCCAAACGGATAAGCCACAAAACTATCCCATCATAGCAAGGACCCCTAGAAAAACAAATATTAGAACCATAAAACAAAATATACTTAAATATGTCAATATAATTATATTATGCAGAAAAATTAGGGCGTCCTAATTTTTTTTGGCCCAAAAAAATTAGTTAATGGATTATCGAAAGTATATGACACTCACCAATTCTTTTTTTTTTTGGCCATACACTCACTAATTCAGAAAGCAGTAGAAATACAATTCAAAGAAAAGGTCATTCTTCTGTGAATAAATATGAATGTAACCAGAATCAGTATGTAATTCATTTGTGAATAAACTAAATAGAATCTACTCCCCCCCCCCCCCCCGAAAAAAAAAATGTGGGGAGGGTCGGGGAATGAGATTTTTTTTTTTTTTTTGGCTTTTTTCAACAAGATCACATATTGTTGATGGATGAAAAGAGGCCTCACAAATCTCCATGGACATGACTAAGTTTTTACAGTTGGGGAAATTCCTCAGTATCATAACTAGCTATACAAACAAAAGAATAAGCCTGCAGTACTGAGATACCATACACACTCGAGGAAGGAAAGACAGAAATTGAACAAGACAATATCTCTTCGCCTCTCAAAACAAAAACGAACACACATTTATATGCTTTCCTAAGGGGCTAGGATTACAACAAAATGGCCAATCTAAGTTTTATATTGAAAGGACCAATCAATTCAACACCCCATTTCCATTTTAATCTCTTGAAAAATTGAAATGATTTTACATTTTCTATGGATGATGATTCATTGAATTTCAAGGAAGAATCATCTCACCTCCTTTGCAGCAGTGTAGCTTCTGCTTTCAGTGACATTTGAATTGGCAAGGACTTCTGGTGCGATTTCCCAGCTCTCACTTCTCCTTCCCCAACTCGAATGCCGGATGTCGGATCTGATCGAAGGGGCGCGATGATCAGAACCAAAAGCTGAATCAACTTCAGAAGTATTATGGGGAAGTCCATTGCTTCCTCTGCTGCGAATATCCTCATCAATTTCTTCAATGTTCCTCCGTTGTGAAATCTTCAATAAATCTTCACCAATATCCAGATCATCTTCAACCTTACGACGGGGATCTCCACCCAGATCATCTGCTTCAGGTTCTCGGGGAGTGACTGCCGAGGGTGGCCTCTGTACCTCCTCAGTGACAAAAGCCCGGAAATTGTTCCTTGAAGGCTTTACCTTGGTGCAAAATACTTCAAGAAAATTATTTAAACAGCCTTGATTATAAACATTAACTCTGCTGTCAGATCTGTACCGGAAGTTTTCATAGGTAGTCTGCAAAACAAGGGGTATCAACTAAGGTGATGAAGATACTCAAGTAGAAAAAGAATAGTAAGAATCAGTTTCAAGGAAGTAAATCAATGGCACTGTGAACTATATGGATATCGACTGGAAGCACTCTCTATCCCAAACACTAAAGCCATTTTCGCAGATCAATGTCCAAGTGGGAAAGTTGACCAACTCTATCCCTCTTGATGAACAAACGCTATTTGATTCATCTATAATTTTCATGATTCTGTCCTTGTTCCACCTTCAAAAGGCACAAAGCTCATAAAGATAAAAAGTTTAATCATAGGCTTTCCTCCAAATAAGGTACCTGGTGGTATATAAATTCACCATCACCAAGTCTATGAGCTAGCAGTATATTGTAAAAGTTGGGCAGTGACCCACTAAAGGTTTTTAAACTTCTTTCTACGAGGTAAGGGATATGGCGATAAAAAATTTAAATGGTTCTGTCTGTGTATTCACTTCGACTTCATTTGATATATGCCAAAGGAAAGGAAAGATGCAGGCAAGTTTATGCTTCCATGACTTCAGAAAGGAGAGAACATGGGATTCCGGCACAATGTCTAAGGCATATGAGGTTCCCATAGATATAGAGGACAGTTACTGTATAATATGGAATCAAGATGAAAACATCAAAAATGCCCCTGCCATGTTATTTTCTGATTTAAGAGGGGAAGTTTAGGCTTTGCTTAAATTATTTTCATTACCTCCTTTTATATTTTACCAAACGTCACTCAGTAAAACATTTTGTTTCCTATCACACATACACCAACCATTATTTTTCCATGCTTATGTCCATTATATTCCCATTTCCATTCCTATCTCCATCCATTAAAAATCTTTTCCCCGAACCAAAAAAGGCCTTAGTAAGAATCTAATAAAGAAGCATGCTTAACAACAAATATAAACAAAATATCAAGCATGAATGTAGTAAGTAATCGACTGACCTGATTAGTGCCTATGAGGTACAAATGAAAGCCTGTAAGCCCACCAACAAACCACAAGGAGAAGAAACAATAAGCCATTAGTATCACAGACGCAGGAGATTCTTTCATTGCCTTCCAAACTGTCCCATGATAATTATCCATCAGAACCTTAATGTAGAAAGCTGAGAAGGAAAAGACATAGATGCAAAGAAGGGTTGCTGAAGAAACAAACAGAAAGAAGTAACGGTAGTTCCTCTGCAAATAGAATAACCAGGCAAAAAACAAAACAAGCAACAAGTTAAGATCATCAGTAGAAATAAAAACACAAAAAAAAAAAAAAAAATCTCCCAAGTCAATTGTCATACCAGTCCAATGCATTGTCCCACCCAAGGGCAATGGTGATCAAATCGCTCAACACAATTGTTACAAATAGAGCAATGTGAGCAACGAGGAGGACGATACAGCATACAAGTGTCACAATACTTCACTCTTACAGTACGGCCATTGACCATTACATCCTTTGTTCGAGGGAACTGAAGACCTGGTGTTTGTCGTCCCCCAACTTCACCACCAACTGAAGAGTCATAACGAAATTCTTCCTCTGGTGGATGTGAATTCCTTGGAATAATGCCCGGATCACGAGATGAAGTAAGAAAGAGAATGACCAGCACCTATAACAACAGACCAAGGGATTATATTGTGTCAAAGACCAGCCCTATGAAAACAGTCATTTTAAGAAACAAAAATGAAGCAATAAAAAAGGTACTTCATTTAAGCACATTTGAAGATGAATTTTGACATCTCAAAGGAATGCATAACAGAAACTTCAAATAATTCAACTTATCCCAACTTTTAATAACTTACTGAAAACATGTAGACTTATCAATATCTTAGTTGAAACTTCAGCTGACACATGGATAAAATAAGGAAAAAGCATTATCATGATCATCAAATCAGCTCCCAACACTACTCGAGATAGTTTGTAGGGCTCACATCAAGAGATACATCAAGAATATCTTGAAAGCTTATACTATGTTGGAAGGAATGCATCATCATTTCAATACTTTAGCTGTATTAACTCTCGAAAGCTTATATAAAATAAGTTCAGAATTTTCAATATCTTGAAGAAATTGCAACTCAAGCATTGGTTCAGGCAGAGAAAATGCCATCATGATCATGAAAACAGCTCTCAACATTAGTAAAGTTGGAAAGAGAAAGAGATGGCATCAATAAATACATCAATAATTTGTTTCCATCTATTCTATTTTACCAGACTTAAGCAGCTACAGATCAGATGTTCTCGGTCTTAAGTCATGAAGATATAGAGGAGGAAGAAAAGAGTTGGAACATAATATGGGTTCTGGCTGCATCCATATGGCGTGTTTTGGTTGGAAGGAACCAGGAAGGTGCACATGCAACATGAAGGACTCAACTCAACAATGGTCACCTTGTGAATCACTATATGCTGGCAGAAGCTTGTTTTACAAAATATATTTCTATCTACTTTGCTAAGGAGAAAAAATTATTGAAATAAAAGATCAAAGAGTAGCTACAACAAATATTGTATAGCAGGTGAAGCAACGAAGGTAAAAATGGAAAACTAATAAAAGATTTGTGATCTAGTAATGCAGCTGGAGATTATAATAATTTAGAGAAATACCAAGACCTAATTGTTAATTAAGAGATAACGTTTTATTCAAGTTAACAATAGACATGTTCAACAAAATTGTTGTCAACTTACTTAATTATATCAAAAAAATGGAGAGAAGGTGTTAAAGGTAGATGAATTGAGAAAATAGAGAGGAATTGACTGATAATATAGTTGAAAGAAAGTGGGGTCTTTCTAACATCCAAAGTTGAAACCTGTTATATGTTTTATTTTATTGTCCAAATTTATTTCAGAGAGTCTCTGAAACAGATTGACAATGTAATGAAATGTATAGCAGGTTTCAACTATGGAATTAGAGAGATTGATGTATTAGATATTTAAAAACTAAATGAAGAAAAGCTTAAGAGAACTTACATAAATAGTAAAGAGAATTGCTACCACTAGAATGGCATGTCCAGCGTTATATGAAGAAAATTCATGTCGAAGATGCCTTGCTACAAATACACAAAATATGATAACTGGAACAGTAATCAGCAACAAAGTGACGAGCAGAGACCTAGCATCAGGCCCAAACATTAACCTCCCTCCGCATATGAACTTCTGCATAAGATTAATGGAGTTAGAAGTAAAATAAGCAATAACATTTGACAAGAATGTAATAATTCAAGACCAACTATAAGCCAAAGTACTAAAAACCGGACCGGTCATTGAACTGGTTGAGGTCAAGGGTTAAAAGGTTCAACCGAGAGTCAAACCGAAGTCAAACTAGTCATAATAAAATAATATAATTTCAACAAAATCACATTAATTCTCAATACGTCTATCCATATTCAAGACTTAATATCTCATAAACTCATATAGAACAACTTTCATGGTTTCAAACAAGTAGGTAATTAATATGAATATATTTTTAAGTATATGTTATTATTTTAAGTATAAAATAATAATACAACTCATAATATAAGAAAATAGATTTTAAATAAATAATAATAATAACCAAATCAAAATAAAACTTTAAAAGTTAAACTTATTGGGCACAGCACCCCTCCTTTTCGAAAAACAAGAAGAGCATGTTCACATCAACTATTTGGAATCATGATTTTATCTCTTGGTTTTTACACTTAGCCCACCGCACTTCTCATTTGCCTTTATATTCATGACTTTAACCCTTTGGTCAAAAGAAGGCACTTCTCAACTTTTTTTTTTTTCCTTCTCTCTGGTTTTCACCTTTTCATTTCCATTACTTTCCCTCTTCCGTCCTCATTTTCTCATCTCCCATCTTCATTTTATCAGCTTCTTCTATTTTGTCTGACCATCCTTTTCCATATCACTGAGTACACTACAGCTGCTGCAGCTGCTGCTTCCTCGCCTTCTCCGGCCAAGAAGGATGTCAGAATCAATGGTGGAAAGATCATTGCTGAGTTCAGATTCACTAGTAAGAGTGCAATTGGGATCTGTCAGGTGTGCCAGACTGCCAGGTGCTGTCGTCGATGTGGAAGGATAGTGAAGTGAAGATGAAGGATTAAAGGAATAACAAAAGGCATGCATCATTTAGGCTTGTTCTTTCATCTGATTCTGATTTTTTATTCTTTACTTATTTTTATTTTTTATTTTTTTTTTGTAAACCAAAGACCAGGCATTTTCCAGTTTTAGGAGGAAGAAGCATCGACTCATTCAACCCGTCCAACCCCATGAGATGAAATGGTCGATCCGAGTTTTCCTCGAGTCACCCGGGTCGGCTTTTAACCTAAAAAGACATCAAACCAGACCGGACACACTGCCGAGTCGCCGGTTCACCGGTTGGACTGGTTCAGTTTTTCAAACCATGCTATAAGCTATAAAGAAGGCATCATGATCTCTTCTATTTATTTATAGGCAACATGATTGTTTTCATTTGCATGGGGAGGAGGGACTGGAGTCATGAGCATAATGAGAAAGAGATGGAAGAAATCACAACACATAATGGAAACAAGATCATGGTATTCAATATTCAACTTCATATCATAAAACAAGTATAATCATGGATGACAGGTTCATGCCACTACCGAAATGCAAGAACTACAACAGCATGGTGCTTCATGATACCAAGAGGATATTATTAGAACTTAGAAAGGAAAATTAAACAAAGGCCAAAAACATTAATATATTCCTTTCAAATCCACACATTCTCACTAGGGTTGCTATATTATAGTTGTCTCATGATAGGACACCATTTTCAGACATTGTAAAGGGACAAACTTGTGTGATGCATTATTCCAGAACTTCTAATTGGCCCTGGAGATAAAATAACTTTCACAACTTGCAAAGTTGGAAATCAAACCCCCCCCCTTTTTATCAAACAACATCAACAAAGAAGTAATACCATAATCATGATCGAGAGCAATTAATGGAATCAGTAACCAAGAATAGGATTTTGGCAAAAGTCCCACAGACAACAGATGTTCAGAAAAAGGAGAATTTTCTGCCATGGTTCCAATAAGTTAAGAAGCAAGTCTTGAAAATAGCCATTTGCTTAAAAAGACATTAAATAACCATGGAAACATGATACAGTAGGTTAATAATCAATTAGCATTTTGTAAACACAAGATTGATTGTTAGGAAGTTATATAAAGAGTTTCTTTCTCAACTATGATCATTATTACACATGGACCATAAAACCAAGCATTAAACTAGATTGATCCTTGGCTACTGAAGCAATCTTATCCACTTCCCTTTGCAATCAAAGCTCCATGTTAAAAGCCTAATCCCAATTCCAGGCGGGAAAAACTCCTCACATGCACTGCATACACCAAATTATATTCCAAAGAAACTTACATCGAGAACTCCTCATTCGTACATTGAAATTATCTAATATTATGCCTCCTCAGCCATATTGGAAGACATTTTGAAGTTTCATTGAATTCAGAATGCCTTCTATCATTGGCTCCTGGGAAAATATCTCACCAGTCATCAGCTAAGGCATTCAGCTTTAACAAAATAAATAAATGCTCATCCCAATGTATATCCAACTTGAACCAGAAGTCAGCTCTCTATGCATGAGAAGGGAAACCAGTACATTCTTTTAATGAATCACAAATCATAAGTCATAACCATACTGAAAACTCACGGTCATCAACCTAACTTTAGTTTCTGTCGCAAAACAGAGGAGAATGCAAAGGCTAGAGTCTCGACAGTAGCTACATATTTAGATGCATATCAAAACTTTTGTCCTTTTCTTGCGTTTTACTATCATTTCAAAAATAAAGAAATAAGAGAACTTTCTTTTCTTTTCTTTTCTTTTCTTTTCTTTTCTTTTTTTTTCTTTTTTTGTCAAAATAAGAGAACTTTCTTAACTTCAAATAATTAACCATAAACTACACTTTCCTTCTTTTATAAGCTTAATTCTCATTTTGATCACTTAACTTATTTATATTTAGATCTTTAAGTTTCTTTTGTATAGACAAGAGATGAAGTGACTGAGCTTCTCCAGATCCATACATGTTAATAAAGATAGATACATTCATAATTCATTAATAACATAGCGCCAATTCTCATAATAATAATAATAGTAATTAAGAAAACCCTCAAAGTCCAAATTCCCAAATTTAAGCACATCTATTATAGCAAGTGTATGCATTGAAGATTCCTCACGTTTAAACACATTAAAGCGTCCAAGATAGTGAAACAATAAGAGTCTGGTGATACCTTGGATGAAAGAAATTGCATATATCATATATAGACTTCAATTTTCTTTCATCCTTTACGTGTTTAATCACAAATCATAAGGGGATCAAAAGCCTCTCCACATTACATATATATAGACATCAACGTGATGCCCAATCCTGTCATGTTAAGCCAAAATAACCTGAGTACACCAACAATGATCAAACCCATATCAGATATTACTCATTCATTCAAACCAGTATCTTAACTCTTAACATGCATATGGGAAAAGCCATTTCTAAATGATCTGTGCCAGCTGTCTAAACAACTTGGTGAAATTTTGAAAGAACACTCCCTGCTGCTTTATATGAGACGCAGCATCTTATACAAACATTATTTGCAAACTAAACTCTGCAAGTGTAAAACAAAAGATCTTTCCAACACTGAGAGGGAGAAAATTTAAACAGAGCTCAACATTTATTGCGCCCTAACAATGTAAACCCCAATGTAGCAAACAGAAAATTAACCAAATCCCAAAGTAAACATACTTCATAGCTTGCTCACATTGGTAACTTTTCTTTGGGCTAAATCTACAGACTTATCTTGCAGAGAAGCTCTACTGAAATAAAAATATCAAATTTGTCAAATTCTATATCTTTATTACTAATTTTTCCAAAAGATAAAGCAACTCAACATGTTGAGCCCAACACTTGATTGCTTAAAAGTACATATAAGGCTTATTCATTGCTTCTAATACATTTTCCAACTACTAACGAGAATACGAGCAGCTTACTTCATGGTTAAGTAGACAAGCAACTGCCAAGATAAGTAATTGATCAGAAATAGTGTAGGATCAAGTAACCCCATTCAGTACTATTCCCAAGGCTCCGCTGGCTCATACCAACCCATCAAACAGCACATAAACAAACACATCGGGGAAGAGAATAGAGAGACAATAAGAGCTGAGGGAAACGTCTACTCGAGGTAGAATATCCAAAATGCATAATCTCAAACCACTTGCGGAATGCACATGATTTATCAATTTGAAAAACCTAAAAGATAAAGATACAAACGAAGCAAATATTTCCCCTCTTCAGTTACATTCTTAACCATTCAGGAACCTAAAACTTTCCCACAACCACAGCAAACCTAGCGCGCACCCAGATGGAATATCAACCATCAACTAGTACAATTTAAAATTGAGCACAAGAAGAACTAGAAGCAAAGAGAAAGAACATTACATTACTTCCTTTCCAGACTTCGAACACGCGCTTTGCCATTAAGAGCTGTACACTGACCGTTACACTACTAGACAGGGCATGAAAGGAAGACCCGAAACTTGAAAGCGTTCATTTCATCAGCATTTTCCCATTCAAAACCAGTCTCATCCCAACAGTCCCACTGGATCAGAGTTCGATTGAGGGGCAAAATCCGAGGCTGCACAGTGAGAGAATCAAGGGGCTTTGCGGAAAAGTGAAGGGGAAAAAAGCTTAAGAGAGAGACAAACAATCAATGATCTCAACTATGGCGGTTTTTGAGTTTGGAAATTTGGAAGTATGCTTTTGGGTTAGAGAGAGGGGGGGAAGACAAAAGAAAAGAAAAAAAAAATTGAAAAACCATTTGAAGGCTCAGCGGTGGACAGATGAAAGAAAGAGAACCCTTACCGTCTCACTCACGTCACTGTGTGAAGAGTCTGCCGCCCCCATTCCTTGCATGAATTTCCCAAATTACCCCTGACAAATTACCCACTACTACTTTATCACTTTTTTGTTTTAATCTGCTTGCCACGTCATCAAATCAAACGGTTCCGGTCCTTGATAGAGATAATCCATCTTCTTTGACCATCATTTCATCGCATTAACTTTAAATTAAATTATATTATATTATATTATATCTTATATTAAAAAAAACAAATCTTCCAATTATATTATACTTTAATTTTAAATAAATAAATTATTCTTCAATCACGCAATAATTTTCTTAAAATTTTAAAAAAAAATCTTTCGTACGAATCTCTTCTTATTGGAAAAAGTACGATTGGATTATTATACTAAATATGTTATGAAGATATATTAGATAAATAGTCGGCCCATAATTTAATTGTCGATTTAAAATTTAAATAATTTTAATTTTTATTTTAATAAGATAAAATAAAAAATTAAATATATTTTTAAATATAAATTTAATTAAAAAAATTATTCTGTAAAACACTTTTTTATGGCCATGATTCTGGAATACACTTTTTTGTTTCATATCCTGCAAATACTTTACTGTGACAAAAATTGGACATGTAATAATGATAATTAAAAAGATTGTGTAATTGTTCAGCCCGAAAAAAAATTGTGTCATTTAAATATCGTCTATCAGTTTATGGTAGGATGTGTAATTTAAACTCTCTCATTTATTCATTAAGAAGATGTTATCTCAATTTATTCATTTAGCAGCAGAAAATGGAATATAACTGGAAATCTTTATGAGTTGGAAAAAGAATTAAAACATTGAAATCTGTTGATCAGGGGAATACTTTTTTAAAAAATTAAAAATTAAAAATGGCAAAAAAATAATAAAAGGTGAGAATCTTGTGCATCTGAGCACAGTGGAAAAGGTAATGAGCCCAAAAGCATAGGAGGAAAAAGCAGAAGCTGATGATTATTGGAGGATTCACATGCCTTACTTGACCATCAAACATACTTTATTCAGTCCTTTTTTCAAATAAATATAAGCAGACTGTATAATTAATATAATTAAAAAACAAAAAATAGATTTACAGTGCATTTATCTTTCATCAAGGTCAGCTCAATTCTCAACTTGACTTGATCAACGAATTATTTTGAGTTTTTGACAGCTCAAGTTCAATAGGATCCAAAAATATTGGGTAATTTGGGCAAGGCCACATGATGTTGGTCAACTTGATCGGATTTTATTAATTTAAAACTCCTCTATAGGGGACTTTCTTGAAAATAATTTTTTATCAAAATTTCTTCAAAATTTTAAATAAATAAAAGGAAACATATTTTTATAGGGATTAATATGAATATTTAATTTTTAACAATCATTTTTATAATTCCTACCTAAATTTGATAACCAAATGCAAATTTGAAATGAAAATGTATTGGTGTGTGTGTGTATATATATATATATATATATTGGACATGTGTGCGTATTTGGCAAAGTATTGATATATAGTAGTATTGTGATATGTGAAAAAATTATGGATACATTTACATAATTAAACATGTTTATCAGGACAATTTAGTATGGAAATATTCAATACTAGAATTAATTTTTCAAAATTAGGGTCGTGGTATTGAAACATGTTTATCTCAAAAAAAAATCATATAAATTTAAAATAACACATGTATATAAGCTGGTTTAACCTCTACCGAATCTGACTTTGACCCAATTCAACCTCCAATACCAATTGAATATAAAAATTATACTTTGATAGAGTGACATTTATAAGATTAGCTTGATTTTAAATTAGGGAGAATGACAATGAAGTTTTAAAAGGATTAATTAATTTAAGTTAGGTCCTAAATGTTAAACTCTAAAATTTATAATTCAATCTCTCAATTTTATAAATTTGTTGTGATAAATTTACAACTTATTTTTTAAAATTTTAATTAAAAAATAAAAAATTTTATTTTTTATTAAAATTTGAAATATAAATTATAAATTTATCACAATGTAATTACAAAATTGAAACATTAAATTATAAAAAATTTTAAAGTTTAGCATCTGGGACCTAACTTGAATTAATTGATCATTTTCGAATCTCTTTATTATTCTCCCTTTAAATTATGCGCCTATGAAAATAATAATTTATTAAAATATAAAAATAAAATTATATTAGACATAGATTGTTTAGATTTAATGTGAATATTAATAGTTTATATTGGTACTCATCATGCAAGCCATGAGAATCGAAACGGCTCCCATGTATCTATAGGTATAAGATAGGATTACCAAACAATTAATACCAAGTTTGTTAATAGCAAAAGTATTTATCCCTGTTAGTTATTGTTGTTAAAATGGAATATGGCCTTTTTTTTTAATGGTGACTTGTGATTTATTTTTGTTTGCAAATAATTTTTTATAGATCTTTTGATGTAATTTTTTTTTTAAATTTTTTAGGGGTGTGTGTGTGTGTAATGTTTGTGGTTTTGGAAGCATATATTCGCTGCCTTGCCGAAGTTAGCTAAAGCATTTTACATAGTCCGAGGTATTCTATTCTCCTTACTTTTGAACAACCATGTAATCTTCCTGATTCCCTTCCTGTTTCGAAATTCCCACATAATTATTGCAACTCACCACTTATATATATATATATATATATATATTCTTCTCTCATTAGTCGACTTTAATTTTCAAGCTATCTCTCTCCCGTAATTTTTGTTTTTAGTTTATAAAAGATCAAATGAAATTAAAAAGATAACATGTCATAGCCATGGGGCAAGAGAGAGTTAACAAGTATGAGACCAACGTAAACAGCACAGAATTTTAGTTACTACTCCGTATGAAGCATAAATATGTTAATAGTTTCAAGGCAAACACTTCTTCGCTTTTCTTTTTTTTTTTCAATAACAAGGTTAAGGTAAACCGTGTAAGAAACAATAATTAAATCATATCAAAATTTAAAAGACTTTTACAACCACCACCAATTAGATTACAAGAATCATAGAGTTTAAAATTTCATTTAAAGCCTAACAAGTAAGCCAATAAGCATTACATTTGTTCTTTTCTTTAAAGATATGGTTAAAAATTATCATCTAGTCTCTCATAATATGATCTCTGATCATGTTAATAGCATCTAAAAAAAGATGGTTCTAGGTGAAATTATGTTAAACAAGTGAGAGGAGGGCTTCAAGTGAGTGAGTAGATATTGATTTTGGTCAATTTGCTATCCTAATGAAAGACAAGGCCTACTTTGAGGATAGCCAAAAGCTAACGGTGATGCTTGGGTAGTAATCAAAATATTTATGTCTTGTTTGCTTACTAAAATAAAATGGAATGAAATTGATTGAAAAAATAAAGATAAAAATAATATGATTAAAAAAGATAAGTGAGTACATTCATAAAGAGAATGGGTAATTTAGTTCATGAGATTTGAAATTATGATTCATAAAATTTTTAGAGGGTATAATAATTTTTAAATTTATAATATATATTAATGAGTTTTATCATTTTTACCTTGCGAAAAGGGCAATTTAATTTATTTTTATATTAATTTTTTCAATTTATTATATTTCATTTCTTTCTAAAACTAAACGAACCTTAAAGAAACTTTTAATTCAATTTCATTTATTATCATAAATGAACCTTCTACAAGCAACAAACCATTAATGTCAACTGAGCCATCAACTAATCCAATTTCATTTTGCTCGAAATTTATCATGTTATGGGGACAAGCAACTATATCTTGACTAAATTTAGATTCAAACGTTTGCATATATAAATATATAATAATTTTATTATTGCTGCTATTAAAGATATGGTTGATTAACATCCTAACTTAAGTTGAAGTGGTCCAAAACCTAGGTTGGCATGGAGTGTTTTAAAAGTTCATAAATCTTGTTGGGTCAAAATAAAATTGAACGAGCACCGAGTCTTAAGGCGCATTTTCAGCAAAGCCAGTTGAAAGAGCTTTTGTGCCGAGCGGTGAGACGGTGGTTGACGTTGGGAGCTTTTTTCTTTTTTTTTTTGTTCTCTCTCTTCATTATCTTCATGATAGTCACGAGTCTGTGACTGGCCGATCCTCTCCTTTGCTCTGCTTCACGATTCTTGAAAGCTCTTCACCTCATTCTCCGTTTCTCTGCCGGATCTGACCAGTGATTGTGCTCGCTGCCGCCGTCAATCTTCTGTCAACTGTGTGTTCCTCGCGTACAGTGTTGCCTGTTGCCTATCCTTGCCAAGTAAGCATCTGCAGAAGAGTCATTGAACCACGGAATGTAAACAAGCGAGCGGTGGCATATGAACAAGCGTAATCTTTGTTTCAAATAATAAGAAGCAAAAATAGAATTTGTACTAAAAGGGAGAGAGAGAATGGTTGAAGACCTTACAGCTAGAGCCGGGAATAAGGGTCGGGCCTGAATGCCCTGTTTAAATAAGGGTTCAGACTTTAAAAATAATTTTTTTTAAAGTAATCAGGCTTGAGGGTTTGGCCCTGATAAGCCCTGTAAAATAAGGCTCAGGCCCGAGCTACCCTTCAAGCCTTGTTATATTATTTTTATTATTATTATTTTTAGTAAAATACGTGTTTAAAATCAATGACCTGCTGACTTGATCCTACATACATTATATTATTATTAATTTTAATTTATTCTAAAATTAATTTAATATAATTTAATAAATATCAGTGTATAGTATAAAATTTATGATATTCTTTTATTTTTCTATAATTATTATGTTTGTATATTTATAAAAAAATGAACTATTTTTTAAATGAAGATTTAAATTTTATTACTAGACTTCTAATGTATGTTATTTAATTTCTAAAAAATTATGATGATTTTAATTTTTTTAATTTTAAAATATTTTAATTTATTTATAATGTTTAATTTTATTTTAATTTTTTTATTTTTAAAAAAGGGCTTACGGGCCTGGGCCTGAG